GTAAGTGGATGCCTCTGAAGTGGATGAGATGGTGATGATTGCTGACCTTGGTATGTGTGGTGGCGTAGTTCGTAAGTGGATGCCTCTGAAATGGATGAGATGGTGATGATTGCTGACCTTGGTGTGTGTGGTGGTGTAGCCTGTAAGTCGTGATTTCGCCGCGGAAGTAAGCCGAGAATTACGACGACATGCCCCCAATGATGCCGTCTCATTCCACTCAAGGAACAACCCGCCAATCTCCCCCTTATTGCGCAACTGGCTTCAAAACTGCATTAAAAATCACCCCGAGTGCAATCAACGACCAAAGTTTTGGCCGAAGAGGGTGATCTACGTTGGTGACCCCCAAAATTGACTCTCGTTGAAGGGCGAGGTGGGGGCGAGGACTACCTTGTGCTCTCGCACTGCTGGGGCCGCCCAACGGCAGAAGAGAAGAAGCAGTTCTGCACTACCAGCGAAAACTACGGACCTCGAAAACGGGGCTTCAGCTACGGCGAGCTGCCGAAGACATTTCAAGACGCAGTTCAGGTGACTCGAGCGTTGCAGAAGCAGTACTTCTGGATCGACGCTCTCTGTATCATACAGGAGGGACCCGACTGCGACTGGGAGAGCGAAGCTAAGGTCATGGCAGATATCTTTGCCGGCGCCTACTGCACCATTGCCGCGAGTTCAGCAACTGGCTGGGGAGATGGGTTCCTGGAGTTACAGTCGGATCCTCCGGACATTGGAGCACAAGGCACTCCAAGCACACCGACTGGGTGTACGTGTGATTTCGCCAAAGATGTAGATGAGGGTGCCCTTATGAAGAGGGCTTGGGTATTACAGGAACGGGTGCTTTCCCGTCGGATCATCCATTTTACCGCGGCGCACACATACTGCGAGTGTGGAGACGGAGTGCTGTGTGAACAGCTGACAAAACTGACCCCGTAAGTCCACAGAATTAAACATCACGTGTGCTACGAAGTCTCATCTCTCTCTAGGCCATATGGGAAACAATACTTCATCCTCGATCCCAGCTTTCCGAGTAGACTCCGCGAGAGCGGGTATGTACGAACCGTCGAGTTCGTCCAATTCCTCTTTGAGAGATATTCAACATCCGGCCTTAGCTGTGCAACCGACAGGGATGTTGCGATTCACAGCCTGGTCAAGCATATGGGACAAGTACTAGGGACTGACGGCAGATACGGCATCTTCCGTTGCTTCTTTGGTCACCTTCTCCTGTGGAGGCGAACTCCTGAGAACAAGACACCCCAAATCGACTACAAGAGATTTGTACCGTCGTGGTCTTGGATGGCATATCCCGGAGGCATCAGTTTTATCTGCGAAGCGAGGAGGCGTCTAAAGGTTGCCCGCCTCAAGGACCTTAACTTTACCGACGAGGGAAAGGCGCTAAACGTCCAAGTGAGGAAGTTTGGTGGAAATTGCCGGATGGAAGACAAAGGGGAAATACATGCTATTGTCCACAGCACGGAGCAAGTAGGCTCTTTATGGTTTGATACAGCAGATCAGCCACGGCTCGAAGATTGTAACTGTGTTGTTGTTAGCATGCTTCAGGACGAGAAGGAAGACGCTTGGAAGACTTACCACGTTCTTGTTATTCAGGAGAAAGCAGGGGGCGGGGGATACAAAAGGCTAGGTGTTGCAGAGGTGCAGGCACAGTATGTCTCCAGCGATTGCGTTGCCGGCACACTTCGGTGAGGTTCTTCTTTCTTTCGCCTTGACATTTCCTAACGAGACCACGATGAATCGAGTTCGTCCTAGTTGAGAAATTTCAGTTTGTTCATAATTTCTACCTTCGTACGTAAGTGAAGCTATCAAACCAAAGAAAGAGCCGGTCCTCGATATTTTAGATCATACAGAAAGCACAAGAAAAAGATGGACGCCAATCAGAACGGTAACCAAAATCCAACACACCTTTTCAAAGATATCCGCCCGTGGCTGCTGGAGAAGGAGCCGAACAAGCCAGCCATTGCGTGCCCAGTATGTATCGAGCAAATCAACCCAGGCCAGCACTGGGAAGAGACGGACAACAGCGAAATGGACAACGAGAAAGAGGCAATACTGCTAGTATGTGGCCACATTCTCTGCGAAGATTGCTGGAGAGAGTTGATCAGGCAGTGGCATCACCGCCCAGTCGACCAACTGAACACGCCACCGAGATGCCCATGCTGCAGAGAGCAGTCATGCTTCGAGCAATGTGGGCATGTGATCCTGCAAACAACATATGTCAGTACAAGCGTCGACAAACGCAACTGGCGCGCTCTCCCACCAACAATGACCGAAGAGGGAGGGAGGAAGCCGCAGAGCTGTAATACCTGCCGTGGAGAACAACTGGTTAGGATCGTGGAGCATGCGGCAAGCCGGCTTGGGATACCATTTCCCAAGTTAGTTAGGGCTAGGGAGGACGAACCGATATTAGAACTTACTACAGAGGAGAGGGAAGCTCTTATAGAGCTACGTGCCATGTGGCGCGGTGAGCAGGACCGATTCTGGTCCGAGGAGTGGGAGGTGCCTGGGTTGGGCTTGATGGGGGTTATCTAAAGAAGACATCACAACACAACCCAATATCCGAGGGCTCACCACGCGACAGCTCCATAGCCTCGCCTTACCCCAGGCCTATTGCCCGAACAAGAAGACAAATGCAAATTCTCACTGTGTCCTGATGGGTATTTAATCAGTCATGACTGCTCTTGTTGGTGTGCTGGGGTTGGTAATAAGCTGATTGGCGGCATTGATGAAAAATTGGAGCGTCGAGACTTGACGCCGCATTCCCCGTTCCGGGTGGTGCATGGGGCAATTTCTTCTCGGCCCCACTCCGCTGTCACGGCTCGGATCCGCAATGCCGAGACATCATCCCCACTAATGACCTACATACCTCCAACCATTGAATGACAGCCAACCAAAGTTGGTTGTCGAATGAAACTGAGAGAGGATCTGAGCCGGAGAGAGCTTGGCAGACCAGTCACGCGAAATCCCAATGTCGCTAGCTGGAACAGGTTAGCGTTTCTTCCTAACGAGTGAGTATTGACGGTATTACAGCCACACATCTTTTGAGCACCACGACGAGGAGTAACGGCTTTTACCACTCTACGGCTTGGAAAGTGAAGTTGGTCTTGGTTTCATTGGCACTGGATTCATCTTCACAGTGCATTCTCACCCCTTGACAACACTCTCACCTCCCGTCTCCAGTTCATGAGCGTTCCGGAGCTCGGTATTCGCCCTCCACATTCGCATCCTGGACGAGTCGTGCGTATACAAGTCCACAAGCATTGCAAAGTGTTCTTGGACCATTTGGACCGCGTCTCCACTTTTCAGTTTCGGTCCGTTGACATTTCTGACACTGGGCAGATTCCGCTCGCTACGCCGCTCATTAGGGCCACATCGTACTCCGAGCTACTCTACACTATCTTAACTAAAACATATGGGCCGACCACTCTTTCAGTATACCAGTCCTTTCTCGTAGCAATGCCCGCCGTACTCTGAGATGTCATGCTCCGTTATACCTTGGTCCATTCCCAGTAGTCGAAGATTAGGTTGAGGACGATCCCACTGACAGGCAGGCAACTCATTTGGTTCGCTGTAGGCTGTAGGCATCTGTAGGATGGTCGATAGCATCCTGCCGACACTAAGGTGAGAGAGAAAACATGGGGATATCGGACGCCCCACCCAGCGTCCTGCGCAGTGGTTGGCGCGCTCATGCGTGGTGGGTGGCTCCATTCTCCGTTCCATGTGGTAGCGACCGGCGCTCCCGGGTGTGCTTGCAGGCTCGATGTGCGGTGCCCCACAGCAGCCGGCGTGCCTTCGTGGTCACGTCGGGCGAGCTGAGTGCGGTCCGGCACTCCGGCATCCAAGCGTACGGTGCCGGGCAACCCGGTGCTGAAACAGAGAGAGCCGTTCCACGGTAGATCCGAGCCCGCGGTTCCCGCCAAATCGATGTCGACGAACTGCTGAAAGCAGGCGGCGAGGCCCGAGTCTGCCTGTAGACTCAGCTCGCCATTCTCCGTAGCTGGCGCCTGTAGACTTGATCTTCTGTTCGTGGCAGCTGCACTCTCCCGCGATGGGAGGCACGATTCTCCGTTCATCGCACCGACCAGCGCCCCCGTGTTTGCCCCTGGGGTGTTCCTTCGAACAGGCGCTCCCGGAGCGCGCCCCGCTTGGAAGCGAGGGTGAGGGTGCAAACAGCTGTAGTGATACCACTGAGAGTCACTAGGGCACAGACTGTTAACTCGCTAGTCTACACGCCGTTGAATGGGTACGCGCTTCTGAACGAAGAAGTCGTGCGCTTCGGTGCTGCAGCGACGACATGCCGGTGTGTCAGCGGGAGGAGGGCTGACGACGTACGCCGATAGATTTTGAGAGCGCGCCAGGGCTCGCGTCCGTCTTCGCGTCTGCCTTCGCGTCCGCCTTCGAGAAGCGTTCGGGGCTTGCCTTAGCATTCGGATGTCAAACGCAGCGTCCCCTGGAGATTCCATTGTCGAAGGCGCTTGGCGTTTTCACTTCACCGCTGTTTCGGACGAACCAGTCCTGAGCAAAGCAAGATGGGGAAAGTTAAGGTCTCGTTGCAAACAAGGGCTGGGGTAAACGCGTTCGGTCGAGCTGGAACGCGGTGTGCTGCAGCAACGAAAAGGAGTTTAACCTTTGGCAAGGCTTAGCCACTGTTGAGATATCCAACACGGGGCAAGCCACGATAGCAATGCGAGGCGTCCCAACCCATGCTGGTAGGCCTGTGGTTTATTGGCTACAGCCTGCTCGCTCGAGGTATTATCGGGACACCCGACTCTAACCACCCCCGTGGACCTATTGGGAAGGGACACCCCATGCATGCGGCAGTCACGGCGGCCATGGTTGCATGGCACAGGCTTCTCATTTCTCCTGATCTGACTCGGTTACGAAGGAGGGATGGCCGGGCACCCACGTCGCGGTAGCATGTTGCCTGCCAGCACGCCCTCCTTTCAAGGCATCAACTAGACACGAGTCTTTTCACTTGGCACAACACAGGGGGAGAGGGAGGGAAGAAGGGGCGACAATGTCATCCAACACCTTCGAACCAGTCGTGGCAGGATGTCCCGGATCCCGCTTGGAAGGGGAGGTGTCGACGCTTCTATAAGGAAAAGTTCCGAGACAGCACTGTGGCCAGTCTTGATACTACTACCCTCCTCCTCCTGACCGGTTCCCCCTACCTCTCTAGGAACTCCATTAAGCCGGTGTGACGTGCATTCTAAATCAGCCAACACTATCTCGACTTAGTTCATTGATTGGCCTGATTCAGGCTGCTGGGTGCCTGGTTACAATTCACTCCATCCCCGCCCTTGTTGACCGCGGACATCCAACTGTCCATCATGCGACCCTTTGCTAAAACACGATTCCACTAGCTATTATGAGCGGCTTTAGCCACGTGTTCTCAGGTCAGTTCGACCACTCTGCCACATGCTCAACTCCTAGGAAAAGCGCAACGACAGTGCTAGTCTCATGATCAACATCGCCGTGCGTACCCCATGGTCATGACTTGCATTAGTGTCTAGGCTTTCTCGCGCTAACTTCCAATATCCTGGAGGAGGTGTATGGCAGGGGCAGTCTGGGGACCTTGGTGTTAATGTTGCAAACGATAAGTTGAGGTTGTCAAGATGCTCAAGTACTTCTCTAGCTGTATGTGTTCGTTGCGTTCCTGATGTGTTCCAGGGCGTTGTCACTCCCCCCTTTTGCCTCAATTCCATACCACCATGGCCATGGTAGAAGAGCGCACTTCGCTACTCCCTAGGGAGTCCGCACGAACTGATACCCCAGAGTCGTTGTGGGACGATTGCCGAAGAGCGCATTTTTGCTTTGTCGAAGCTGCCAAACGACACCGGCCTCGCAGAGAAACAAAACGAGTCCCGTGAATACTATAGATCGCATTATGAAACAATATCTTGTAAACTGACGCCCGAATTTGCAAGCAAATACACCGCCACCTCTAATTCCCACAGGGTCCACTTCAAGCCATATACAGCATAATACCGCCTCTCGTCTCCCATAGACAACGCGTCCTAGCCCACTTCGTCGTCTCCCTAGGCCCCATACGAAGCCTACCCTTCCGAGGCCAACGTTATCTCTCCGTCGAATGGCTTTCGCCCCAATACTGCCACCCTGCAAAGAGGTTAGCTGGCGTCGTCTGTCCGAGGGAGGAACCTGGGGCAAAAAGAGCACATACTGTCGCACTCTAACACTGTCAGCTTCCGACGTAAGTCGGCTACGCCAGTCCCCCAAACGCGCCCAAATTTCCTGGTCGTCCACACCTTCCAGGTACCACAACAAGCGGAGCATGCTTTCGACGTCGTGCAGCTCATATTTGGTCACATCGGCACTCTCCCACTTCTCCTGGATGTCCACGAAGCCCGCTCTCACCATGTGGCGCGTGTACATGCCAGGGGCGATGGCAAACGAGCAGCTAGTCTTCTTGCCGAGCTCACAGGCTTGCCGGGAGACCGACTTCCAGGAGAGCTCTCCGTCGTCACTCGCAGACAAGTAGCTGAATAGCGGATCGTACAGCTCCAAAAAACCGCCGGGCATAAGGCACTTGTAGGCGCTCCGGAACAAGCTAGGCCAGTCCTTGACATTCCCTAGGAGCTTGCTGCCCCGGATCAGATCGAAAGACCCGGGCGCTCTCGCCCATTCCCAGTTGACGTTGTGGAACTCGAAGTAGCAGTTCGGCTCGGTAGCATACTGGACGGGGGCAATGTCGATCCCAAGGACGGTGGCCGACCCGTTGACGAGAGCCACCTTGCTGTCAGACACCAATGATTAGTGTCTAGTTGTTCCACGACCAGAGGAATGAACCTACTCTGCCCAGTAACCAGACGCCGCCTTTAGGTCTAGCACCCTGGTTGGCTCGATTGGTGCCTGATAGAGATGGAAATTGTCTTGAAGATAACGAAAGTCGAGACTGTATACCGTCAGCGTTGTCCTTGCAGGCGGTTGATATCTCTGTTTACCGTTTGTCGCTCATCACAAGAGATTCGTCGTCGACGGCGCACCTGGTCAGCGTCATCAGCTAGTGTCCTTTTAATGCCTGTAATCAATCCAACGCAAGGAGGGCAGGGCAGGACAGGAACGGGCCTACGTACCAGCTCCAGCCGTACTTTGGGTTTGGGAACGCCCTCTCACAGATCACGAGGTAATCTTGGGTGTCTACACAGAGAGAAGTCGTGTCGCTGAAACTGCCACAAGGTCAATCAGGATTGGCACCCGTATATCGGAGCAGGTTGACACGGCCAGACCTACGCGTCAGGTTCCGAGGCGTCGTGCTCATCGCGAGAACACTTGGCATCTGTCAAGTCCGTGCCGCTGTCCGAGGGCACGGCCCAATCCGAAAGCCTAGAAGACGAGCTCTCGTCGCCGTCGTCTTCTGACGTCTCCGGGACGCTTGCATCGGTCTTAAGGGGAGGAAGGGAACAAGCGTCCTTGATAGGCGTAGAACTAAGCTGGACCGGCTGAGTCTTAGTTGCCAACATCTCCCCGGATTGCATCAGGCGATGAGGAAGGGCTGTGCAAGAAAACGAGATTGTGGGAAGCAATGAGGATGGCCAATTGTAAATGCAGAGGCAACAAGGCAAACGGTTGCAGGCATCGCCCAGGTGAGTTGCCAGCCGAGATGACCATGTCGTCCAATGGCCATTGGCTCTTCGCTCAATTGCTAGTTGGTGATCGGGGCAGGGGTTCTTCTCTCGGCGTCTGCATGAGGCCTATTCGGCTGCCAGCTGGGCTTCCAACCACACCCTCCCTTGCCACATGCGTGTCGCGGACTATCGGAATTCAACCGCCCGTAAGACCGGCATCAAAGATCGCGAACCACCCTTGCTTTAGAGCAGCTGTCCTCGTCCCTTTCGACCCCGAATCTGTGGTTTCTCACCTCGACCCTAAGCCAACCACCCCATCTGGCAGCTGATGGGCGTAGTTGTCGCCATAGTTGAGACCAGGACCTAAAAAGTTGTCGATGGATTCCTTCGTTGCCGGGTGGAAAGTAAGACATTGCTGATCTAGCAAACGATATTGGTCGGTCCAACTCTTCCGGCTTAGACTAGGCTGTGCGTCTGCGTCTCCAGCAGGCAGATTGTTGAAGGTATCAATCAGGGCTCCCACGGTGATGCTCATTTTCAGTGCAAAGGGTGATCGTGAAGTGATGACCAATAGAAATCAGCTACGGCTGGTTTGAGAAAGGGATGAAAGCGAATAGGAGAGTATCGGCCAGACTTAAATGTTTTAACTCCCTTTGCAGACGATGGACCTCATCAAGTTTCTCAAGTATTTCCTGATTCATACGCGATGCACAGCTCTACTTCAGTGTTAACTACAGATTGTATGAATCAGAAGGTCAGAGGTGTGCCATGCAACTAAAGTTCCACTTGTGAGCAATGTGCAGCCCATCACCCATTTGGATCCCGCCCTTCCATTCAGCCAGCAGGATGTGAGGCAGCATTTTTCGATTGGCTGATGGGCTTTATGCGGGTGGAACGCTCAGGCCCCATTGTTGCTGAAGCTAAAGGAGGGAAAAGGAGGGAAAAGGGGAAAAGGAAGGGAAAGGAAGGGAAAGGAAGGGTCAAGCCTCGTCTCCTCCCAGCCATACTTCGTTGCTTACCCTCATCGCACTTTCATTCTCATCATTATGGACCACCACCACGACAGGTATCACGAAAACAACCATGACTACGGCGACGACGATGTCATAGCGTATCTCTACCCGGCCGTGGGTACCCAGGGCTATCTCGAGGCGGCGCGTAGCATCGACGAGAGTGCAGCGAGCCCGCTGTACCTGGGTCCAAGACGCCGTCGTCCCCGGGTTGTCGAGACGTCGCAATCGGGACCTCCGGACATCTTCGCCAGGCATGAACGAGAGCGGACGGTGGAAGAGGAAGAGGATGAGGACGAGGGGCAATTGTACGGCGATCTAGATTACGAGGTCTGTATACGAGTGACCTTCGACAGCATCCCCAAGACCCGCTATGGCCTGAGGGTTGGTCGGGACAGCGACGCCGAGTTCCGTGTTCTCGATCTCCCAGGCGTCAGCGCCTACCACTTCGCCCTCACCTTCGACGCCAACTATCGTCTTATCATCCGAGACCTGGGTTCCACGTATGGCACCAGCGTCATATACGACGACATGGAACGGGGCCGGTGGCGTAGCTTTGACTGGATCGTGGGCGGGAGCGACTTTCTACAGAAAGTAAACGCCATCGTCGTCAAGGTGACTAATTCCTGCAGTCCCGGCTCGTCATACCTCGACACGACGTCGACTCCAAGTTCTACCGGGACAGAGTGGACAGATTCCGCGCGGGTGCGACGGATACCGAGCAAGTCCTCGATCTTGGCCGTCTCGGTCCCTTGAGCCGGGTCAACACCGCAGCCCCGTCGGGCGCGCGAACACCGACCTCGGGCCCCAGCAGGCATGTGACGGTACACAAGGAACTCGGCTCGGGCAGCTTTGGGGTAGTCTACCACGTCTGGAACGTCAGCACCGGCGAGGAGTATGCGCTCAAGGAGCCGAAGAAAGACTCAGGCCATGTGTCTCAGTGGAAGAGGGAGATTGACATCATGAAAAGAATCAGCCACGTCAGTGCCCCATCTAGCTCTATCACCCGGCGGCGAATCACTGACTTCTCGTTCACAGAAGCATATTGTCTTGTTGATAAACTCGTGTTTGCCGCCGTCGCCGTGGCTTCACCTCGAATACATGCCCGAGGGCTCCATCAGCGACCACCTTCATGCCGGCAAATCCTTTAACGAGCGTGAATGCAAGCAGATCCTTGCGCAGTCGTCGGACGCCCTGGCCTACCTACACTCGCAAGACCCCCAGATCGTGCACAGAGGCGTCAAGCCCAGAAACATCTTGATCCTGCGCCGCCGTCCAGACGATCTCTTCATCAAGTTCTCAGACTTTGGCCTCTCGCGCGAGGGAGACGCCCTCAAGACCTTCTGCGGTACGTACGCCTACCTGGCTCCCGAGGTCTACGAGGGAAAGAGCATCACGCGGCACCGGCGGCCCACTTATACGGCCCTTGTGGATGTCTGGTCGCTGGGTGTTGTTCTCGCCAGGCTCCTGTGTGGACTTCCCAAACAGGAGAAAATAGACGAGAACATGGGGGTGGAATGGTGCGAGAGCATCCGCGAGAGGGTGGAGCGGGCCCTCCGGCAGGGTCACCGCCAAGGCCGACGACAGGATCTGTTGTCGTTCGTTCTGGAATCAATGCTCTGCCTCGATCCAGACGACCGAGAGACGGCGGCAGGGTGCCACAAAGAGGCCCTCAAACTCCTGTTCGACAGCAACAGCGTTCCTGAAAGCGACAACGATCGAGGAGAAGCGGACGGCCACCACCAGCACCAGCAATCGGACACCGAAGCGTCTACAATCCTCGCTGGGAAGGCGGATGAGAGCTTCTCGCCGCTCAGCAGATACATTATCCACACGGACGAACTGCTGGGACGGCGACGGGACCGCTCCTGCAGGGCCCCGTCTCCCGAGACGGCGGTCCCGCTCCATGCAGGGCAGCTGCTGGAAAAGCTCCGCAATCTCCAGGACAGCCTCTTTTGCAAATCCAGCTTCGGAGAGGCCTCGGACTCGGATTCTGGCTCGGACTGCAGCATCAGCGCGCCTGCGACCGTCATAATAGCTCAGGACACCGTCGTCGAGCCGCAGACCCAGCAGCAGGAGGACAGGCCGTTGGATGCCCCAATCCGGGAGGCGCTTGTCAATTTCCTCAACAACGGGACTGGTGCGACGCTCTCGGTCAAGAGATCCAGGCCCGCCAGCAGGTAAGTGTCATGTCCACTACCTATCCTTCATATCTGGACATCGAAGCTAATGCAGCATCATTTTTCATAGAAGTCCTGGTTCTAAAAGCCCTCGGGTATTGTCGGCTGCGGGAGCAGACGGCGCTGTAGGATATGGTCTGAGTGCGAGGACGGCGAAGAGGAATAGGACTGTGCTGGGGCCGGGATTGGATGGGCTGAGCGCATCGGTGGTCATATAAATAGATGCATGGAATGGAACAGATGTGATGGTACAGAAAGCTGGGTTCAATGTTGTCAATTTATGATTTAGGTATGGTAGAAATTTGATGCCATGTGGCCGTGTTGATGGATACCTAGTGACTCCTAGTACGTGATTCCGTACAGAAGGTTATGGGGCTGTGAGGCTGGGGAGTTTGCGAAGGTACCCGCCTGCCGCATCACTGTAAGATATCACAATGCTGGGGTAGCTTGGGTGGGTGTTCAGGCTTCCGTGCACTGATTGCTCTACACAGATTTACTCAAAACCCACCCATCCCCCACCAACTGCACCACCTCAAGTCCCCAAACCACCTCAATTTTCGCCCACACCCCAACGCGACACCAGACTCGATACCGTACCACGCATGTCGGAACAAGGAATCCATGGCGACCCAGCTCTCCGGCGGCCAGGTTTTCTTTCTCAGCACGGATGAGTATCTCAGCGACAACACCCAAGACGGCCCTCCTCAAATCCAAAACCTCACGGGCGGGGATGACGTATCCGATACCAAGAGGGGTCTTCTTGCCCAACAACTGCTGTGGGTTTCCCTCTGGATTGCCCATCTCCAAATTGCCCATGCCACAATAAAATAATCTAACAGTTGAAACCTGCTGCCTAGCCAAGCACCATCGATTGACGCAACCGCCCTCACCGCGCTGCTGGATCGAATCCCATCTGAATCAGACCATCGTCCGGTGCAGAGCTATTACCCGAGCCCCTCCCGCTCGTCGACCGTCGAACCTCCCGAGGACGAAGAGCACGAGTACGAGATCAAGTGCCACCAGGCTCTCCTACGCGACAACTGCCGGCCGCTGTTCCACGTCGATCTCCTCCCACATATCGAAGCGAATCTGGACGCGCACGCCCACCTGCTGCGGCCATGGACTACACAACAACACCCAGCGGATGCGAAGGGGAAGTGGCAGGCCCTCTCCAGACAATGGAACAGATGGAAGGAGTTCCGCGCGTGGCAGCTGCGCGGAAGGCGCAGAAGGCCTGGGTTTGGGGAATATCTCGACGTATACAGGCGCGACTACTTCATGAGCGGGGGAACCTCCAGTCGCGCGGCCGAGCCGGAGTTCGAGCAGACTGCACGCCTACGCTGGGAGCGCGATTACGACGACTACGGCGAGGACGAAGATGTCGAGAGGCACGCCGAGGTTGTGAGGAGACTACTTCCCCAAGGGTTCGTCATCCGGCGGCCTCTGAGGTTGTTGCCGGACCCCAAGACGCAGGACCTGTGGACTACGTATGTCGAGTATCTCGCCTTCGAAGCGGAGTGCCTCTACCTACTTGCCGGGGACGCGCGGAGACTGGAGAAAAGGGCGAAGGGGAAATACGAGGTCGCTAAGGCCAAGGTCGACCTGCAGCAGTGCAGGGTTGATTGGGTGCTGTCTGAGATTGAGAAGATCAAGGAAGAGCAGAAAACTGCGGCAGGCGAGGGCAGTAGCGGCAAGACTGGCAGTAGCGGGAAAAGGAGGCCTGCAGACGACACCGACGGACTGCAGGACGTCGTGGAGCCACGGTTGGGGAAGCGCAGGCGGATGGGGAAGATGGACGAGGACACGACAGACAAGGACAAGACAAACGAGACGGAGGAGGTGCCAGCCAGCACGAGCAACAACCTATCACAGACAAGACGAAGCAAGAGACGCATGCCCTCGACAAACGAGCAGGAGGAGAACTATGTCCCGGAACCAAGGTCGAAGAGAAGGAAGGTGGCCAGCACGAGCGACGGTCCAGGCAGCGTCCTGCAAGCTTCCGGGCCGCCGGCGGTCTCGCCTGTCACCACCACCACCACCACCACCACCATCCATACCTCGTCCTCGCCCCGTCGTCGGCGGCCCAAGCGCATGACAACACCTCCCAGAGCGGCAGCAGCAGAAGCACCGGAACCTCGTGGAGAGCGGATAAAAACACTGCGGCCGCGGGTCAATGGGAAGGCGGCGACCATTTCAACTTCAACAGATTCAAGACGACACGGGGCGGCCAGACGGCCCAGAGGTCGGCTACGCGCCGCTGCAGGGCGCATGTCCTATTTCAAGGGAATTGAATTGGTGGAATAACAGGTTGACAGGACAGAGGGAGGAGGGGGCCGTCAATGGTGATGGCGACAACTCGTCAGTTCTTCCGCCGGTCAGCCCTCGGTCAAATGACAGTGGTGGCTGAGGCGCAGAAACGGTTCCCAGCCCCCTCAGGGCTTGCCTCATTTGCCCTACGACGCCAGGCGCACGAGACCTTCGCCCGGTCAGGTCCTTAGCGACGGGCCCCGACGCGATATATTGAAGTCAGGATAGGAAACCAAGCAGATAGTGAACGGGGACAAACCTGAAAGAACCCCACATGATCGTGCAATTTGTCCGTAGTTGGAAACCGCTGAGAGCAAATGGGGCATTCCATTGTCATCTTTGGGTCAAAATGGGGGGGATTGAGTTGGCGGAGAATCTGGCGGCAAATAAAGGTGGAGGAGAACACGAAGCGGAGCAACCAATCAAGGCCAATCGGGTTAAAATGAGGACAATCCGGAAAATGTCGGCACACCCAACGCGCATAAAAGTGCACCCCCTCCTCCCAAGTGTTGATGCCCAAATTCAACCAATTGCTTCTTTCACGAGAGGGTCGTGACTGTGTGTCCTCTGGCCAACTTGTAGGTACACATAAATAGAGTACAACTCAGTTCTGGCGCGTTAGGACAATCTACTGACTCAGCCTTCGCACTAATACAACATCGATAGAAAATCCCACAGGCCTCCCTGGGAGAGAGGCTGGTCATTCATGATCACGAACGCAATCTAGAATCCGCAAATAATAGGACTAGGAGGTTCTTTCCCCAGCGGCTCCGATCTTGCCTGCACATTCGTTCACTCCCCCTCGCCCACCACTGTCTCCTGCCCTGCCGCTTCCCCAGACGCCGAGCCTACGAAAAAGGTGGTAATAGAAAATAAGATCTCCTGTCAGTGGTTGAATGACCGTCTCCCCGCTGAGGTGAAGGACAAACCCACAGTGCCATTGAATCCGGTGTGTCGTATCGCTGTCCCAGACGCAAATTAATACATCTATTGCGCCCTTGAAAAGTAGCACCATAAGACTAGTTTCATCCTTCTCTATCCACACTCTGCTTTTGCCATTCTTGGGCTGGAAGAATTTCGGGACATAGGCAGGGTACTTGATAAACTTCCCGTGCGACTCTGTCCCTGTCGGTGAGCTGGATTTGAGACGGACGGAAGAGGCCAGAGCCGAAGATGTCTGAATCGGCAGTCATACGACGTCACCACATCACGATGTTGGGAATTGGCAATTTTTAGGTCGCAGAAATAACAAAGACCAGAAGAAAGTTTCTTGAAAATATTCAAACATTGACAGATATAAATAAACAGCGCCTCCCAGACCCTTTCGGTCGTACGCTATGATGAAAACGTAAGAAATTAAGTCGGTGTGTGATCAATGTTCTAACGGATGCGTCGATTTTGTCCGAAACGCTATAACTGACACTCGTCCGGATGAACTGCCGATGACAACTGTTGATGGCGCTACGGCCGAGCATTTCGGCCGATATTCTGGGGGCAGCCAAAGCCAGTTTTCCGAGCCCCTCGTGACCCACCTGCCATCCGAGCTTACACCGTAGTCTTGACGATGGAGAGTTGGCGAAGCAGTTCTTGACGGTGCCAGGTGGAGGGTGTATAGCGGCGGCATAGCTAGATCGATAGTACCAAAATCCGTCTGAAGATGTGAGCC